ATAATGATGTAGAGATGGTTAACCGTTGGTATAATATGAGAAGGAGTTAGTCGAGGGTGCGGTCAAATAAATACAAAATTAAAATATATTAATTATTTTAAAATATATTAATTATTTTAAAATATATTAATTATTTTAAAATATATTAATTATTTTAATTTTTGCCAACGTTTCGACCCACTTTGCTGGTCGTCTTCATGGCGTAGGATGTGGCACTGCGGGAGGCAGTTGAAACAATGGGCCAGTGTTTCGGCAAAAATTTAACGTCGGAAAAAATTAAAATAATTAATATATTTTAAAATAATTAATATATTTTAATTTTTTATTTATTTAACCGCACCCTTGACTAACTCCTTCTCAGATTATATCAACGGTCAATCATCTCTACATCATTGGCCAGTGTTTCAACTGCCTCCCGCAGTGCCACATCCTACACCCTGAAGACGACCTGCAAAGTGGGTCGAAACGTCGGCAAAAATTAAAATAATTAATATATTTTAATTTTTTATTTATTTGACCGCACCCTCGACTAACTCTTCTCATATTATATCAACGGTCAACCATCTCTACATCATTATTAAGAAAAACATTTTAATGCCATAAAAAATCAAATATATATTATTTCTACCTAACTAATGTATGTATCGATTGAGGTCAAAAGTACCAAGATGAATAATGGGGAAAATATTTACTAGGTATAATATATTTTCAAATCAGAAAACATGGCCCTTAAAAATTGAAAACAAAATATTTAAAATTGCCTCAGAGAAAAGATAAAATTCGTCAGCGATGTCAAATAAACCCCAATATGTATTATCAAATTAAAATCTACGGAGGACATGAGACATCAGTAATGGGAAGCAAGGGAGGGGAGAAGGGAGAGAGGAGCCTGGGGGGGGGGGGGAACCCCTTGGAAAAGCGCTTATAAAAATTTCCATTTTCCTCCCAGTCATTTGTTATAATCGCCTTAGCTCTCCCAGCGGTAGAAATATAACCTTTCGGAACAACTTACGAGGAAATGCTGATTTGATAAGCTGAGATCAGGGGAACAATGTAATGCTCCTGTTTTTGTATTAAAAAAGATTTTGTATGGGGATAAAAATTAGTGAACATATCATATCCATTTCAAACATAAAAATAATTATGTTTCTATTTAACAGACATTTTGTCATAATTGACAGATATTTTATTCATAGCGAATGAAAATGTGAGGCAACGATTAATTAATAAATAAACTGTTTTTTTTCTTTTCCATCACAGAAGATAGAGAAGTCTTTTTTTATTTTGAAGATTAACGATTTTTTTTATTTTATTTTATTTTATTTTTTTTTTTTTTTTATTTTTTATTTTTTTTTATTTTTTTTTTTTATTTATTTTTTTTTTTTTTAGAATTGGAAATAGTCATTCGTGTTTTTCGTTTTGTGGTTGAGTATTTGTCTGTAGCGTTAAACCTGTTTTCAGAGGATGATACACAAATTTTATCAAATTCCATCCACTATTTACGAATATTATTTTATGCTTGAAGCTACATATATTAACATTGTAGATGAATGAAATTAGAATACTAGAAAGATAGATAGATAGAAAGAAACAAACTTTTTTTTTTCAGAATTGAAAATAGTCATTCGTGTTTTTTTTTTGGCAAAGGTAGTTGCGTACTTGTCCGTAGTGTTATAACTATTTTCAGAGGTTGATACAGAAATTCCTTACCAATTTTATCAAATTCCATTCACTACTTAAGAAATATTATTTTATGCTTGAAGCTACATATATTAACATTGTAGATGAATGTAGAAAGATAGATAGATGGAAACAAACTTTATTATTGGACAAGAGGTCCCTTAAAAATAACAAGCATGAATAAATAAACAGAAATCATATTAAGCCAAAAACTATATAGACGAAAATTCATACAATAAACTAAAAGAATCTTCAGTATATGTACCGTTGAAACGATATCTATGGCTAAGTGTGCTTCCAAAATTTTACCCAAATCCTATTGAAACGAATAACACCACGGACAGAAGAAACCGAAATTATACCTGAATGCCAATCAGGATTCAGAAATAGGAGAAGCTGCTTAGATAATGTTTTTGTCTTAAATGCCGTTATCCAAAACCAATTTTTAAAAGAGAAGTCTAACCTTTTCGGTATTTTTGTTGACTTTCATCGGGCTTTTGGCTCCATAAGTCACAACCTTCTATGGCACAAACTCTTTTCTATATGTTTGAGGGGGAAAATAATTCGAGTTATTTTATTGTTTTATGTGTATGTATTTATGTATATTGTTGACAATTTTAGATTTTATATTAATTTGATAATTTCAACTATTTTAACTATCTAACCTTTACCAAATAGGATTTTTAATTTATACTTAAGATTGTAGTAATGTATGTTATGTAGTATCTGAGGGAATTAATATTTCCATGAGCATAATAATGTTTGTTATTTTGTGATAGACTTCATTTGTATAGGTTTCTACCCTCAAAACAAATAAAGATTGATTGAACCATCAGTAAAAATATATAAACAACCAAAGAACTTTTTTTCAAAACTGTTCCACCGAAACCGTTAAAATGGAATTTCTTCAAAAGGATTTCCATAAAGCAATGCCCGTCTTTCATAATACATTTTCAGAACACACTTGTAGATTTAATAGGAAATCATTATTTTCCAAAAACTTCTTCTTTTGGACACTAAAAATATTTGAAGTGACATGAGGAAGCAAAAATAAATTGAAATAGTTTAAAGATCTAAAAATACAAGCATGTGCGGGTATGTGTGTGTGGATATATATATATGTGGATATGTATATATATATATGTGTTTTCCTTTTGCACATAAATTATATTTAGTTTTCTTGCACTTTTAATGATTGTAACATAATTTTTTTTTTTTTTCATTATATCTTATGTAGGTTTTTATGAGATTTTTGTGAGACTGTAAAAAATTAATTTCAATTTTCTAAGTAGTATTCAAACCACTGTTATGTCAAGTGTAAGGTTACTACAACCATAAACTTGTAACTTATCTGTATGACATGTAATATATATTAAAAAAAAAAATAAAAATAAATAAATAAATAAAAAAAAATACGATTTACAAGAAGAAAATTAATAAAAAATTTGTTTAGTATTCAGATGTCCTAAAAGTGTTCCAGCAGTTAGCAGTTAATGGCGGCCCTGGCACTGTTATTTTAGTTGATGAAAACAGCCGGTAGTTACAAGATGGAGGTTACTGATCGGAGGCAAGTTAAGGTATACCATCCGACATAAAGTAGATCCTTAATCGGCTAATCCCCGAAGAGCTCTTAGACCAGTACGTAGGGTTTATGAGTCGAAGCGCAATAAGGCTAATGGGAGATGGACCAAGTTGAACCAAACAGAACTGCTAGCCAATAAATCCCCTGCATCCACACTACTACTTGACCTTATTCGATTCATGCTCGACGAAATTACACTGTTCATAATCCATCGTCGAGCCTTGTTACGGCTTGTGGTTAGTGCATATCAACCCGGGGATATATGGTAGCCGTTTCATATTTGCATACGTATTTCAGTCCTATACTGTAAATATTAAAATTAATATAATAATTTTAAACGTGGAAGGACTAAGGTGGATATTAGCATAAAGAAACGATATGATAGTAATATAAAATTACTAAATGTTCAGGAAGAAATTATATAATAAAACATTCTGATTCGCTACGAGCATCACAGAACTTTCACTTATGATAAATTAATTGTAACGAAATAATTTTAGTACTACAACAAGACAAGAACTCAACCGACGATACGGCCAACTATACCGACTACTAAATAGAAAATCTAAACTTTCTATTGAAAACAAGCTACTCATCTACAAGACAATACTGAAACCTATTTGGACTTACGGACTAGAACTGTGGGGATCAGCAAAATTTTCTAACATCAAACGCATCCAATCCTTCCAGTCAAAAGTCCTTCGAACAATAGTCGATGCTCCTTTCTATGTAACCAACAAAACCCTACATCATGACCTCAACATTTGTCCTAGACCTTATCCCAGAAAAATTCTCCAAATTTCACCAGAACCTTATGTACCACCCAAATCCTCTTGCACAATCCCTATCAAGCACCTCCCATCCCTATAATCCTCTAAGAAGGTTGAAACGGCAGTGGCCTTGCGACCTTTTGTAGATTGTATACATTGGAGTTCTGGCAATGGCCAGATTCTTCACTCAAGACATGAGTCTATGTGGCCGAAGTGCTCTCGATCAATCTCCGCTGGCTTTAGTACCAGTGACGCGGTTGAGAGAGTAGCGCAGGGTTCTCCTGGAGTTCCCTCGCCTGATTGTATATAGGTATGCATGTGTTTTTTTTTTTTTTGGTTAGTTTTAATTTTCTTATTTTTTGGGTTATTTTATTTTATTATCTATTGTATATACTTTTGATTATTATTTTGTTTCTATCTATTTTATTTTTTTTTTGTACATATAGTGTGAATGTCATCCTAGCTCACTATAAAATGTCCAAGAGACAGATTGTTGTAATACTCAATAAAGAAATAAAAAAAAAAAAAAAAAAATGGTACCACAAGAGTGCCACTAAGAAAGTCATAAAAAAATCAGCTATATTTGTTTATGTATCATTGTGAGTATTTTGATTTGTTTAAGTACCGGTATATAGTAGGATGTATAAAAAATGAACTTTTTTCAACCAAATATTTGTCATTCAAATCTTTTTAAATATTCAAATATGTCATTCAACCGAATATGACAGTCACCTTCTATTACTTTATTGATTCATATTTTCTTAAAGAATCTACAATCGTTCTTATTATCCATTCCTCTTGGGCCATGAATTAAATACGGCTATGTAATTTTGAGTTCAAAGGCTGAGATCAAAATTGATAATGCGCATATAAAAAGTACGTCGCGAATAATATTCAATTGCTCGGAAGATCGTAAAACTATTTCCGCACAATTTATCTCACAGATTGAGTCTAGATATTCCTGTCTATTATAAGAAGACACAAACCAACCAAAGAAGCTTGAATGATGTTAAAGAGACAATGGCGCTATCTCCACAGGAATTTCTAATCAAGCCGCAAAGAGCAATAAACTTGAATGAGCCCGATGTGACGAATAGGATACTAGAGTTGATTGTGATAAGATCTAGGAATCGTGACAGCATCTTAGGCCCCGGCAAGCATGTTAGGCTATTCTGGTCTGAAATACGTACCACGAACTTTAAATTTTAAACAGATACGCCTCAAAACGATTTATTTTTTATTTATTTTTTTCTCTGAATTTTCTGTATATACCTGTATATTTTCTTAGTATTTTTTGTATTTTATCCACGTGTGTATATTTTTTTAACCTTTTTCTGTGGGAAATTTGGTTCCAGAATAAATTTTTTTTTATTATTTGTTTATTGAAAATATCACAATCTGTCTCAAAAGACATGTGTAATAGTGTTCAGAGATCACATTCACAATCTATGTACAATGAAAAAAATAAATTAAAGAGAAAAATAATATATATACAATAAATAATTATAAAATAACATAAAAACAACACATACATACGTATATACACTATTTACAATCAGGCGAGAGAACTCCGAGCCAGAAATGTCCTGTGGAGGGAAAAGCATGACTCCAGGAGATCCCTGCACTTCTCTCTCAACCACTTCACTGGGGCTAAACCCAGTGGAGATTGAGCAAGAGTGCAAAATTAAGTTTTTTTATCATTTCGTTTTATCCCATACAATAATATTTATCTGGCTTCTTTTCAACCCTTTCTATTCCTCGAATTCAATCAAGTTCCTATTCCTCTGTAGAATTTTAAAAGTGCTCTAGGTATTTTTGATCTTTAGAAGAGGCCAAGTTTATCTTTAAGACACCTTAAGCGGACTATCGGCGTATTTTTCGCCATCTTCGAAACAGATACAGGATATTCTGTATCGGCGCAGATACAAGTTATCTGTTCCAAGTTTACCTGAAATATTCTGCTTTGGCAATTTTTAATTTTTGTCTTACTCCAATAATTCTATTTATTTTCATTTAGTGAAGTATATTTCAATTCCCATACCACTATCATCGCATAGCAATATAAACATATATATATATATATATATTTCTCTAGAGAAAAATGCAATCCTACAAAGATAGAATTAGAAAAGTTGGGAATAGAATGGTATTGATATTTGGGATGATATAGATGGTGCACACCAGTCACGTAGGGCCTCAGCTTCAATAATGTATACCACCATCACCAGAGGACCACCGAATCAGGAGAGACAATAACGCCATATAAAATATTAACTTGGCACAGACAAAGAAGTTATTGTTCAAACTGCTCTTTTGTTCCTGGCGCCCTACATCCGCGATTTCCGAGCTTCCAAATTAAATTGTAATTAAAAAGAATTAAAGTAATAATTTTAAATATATATATAGGATTTTACAAAATACATAAAATCCTACAATCAATATACAATTTAAAAAAAAATAATTTGCTACTATTACAGTGATTTTTATATTGAGTAAGTCACAAGCGTTATTTAACTGGTAACCTGTATCAACATAGGTATTATGGTTTGAGTTGTATCACGAGTCAAATCGTCTCCGTTCGTTCATCTTCTCTGATTATGAACTTGCCTTCCAATCTCTACCGGATCACTTAACTATTCACCCGCTACTCATAGCTTTGAAACTTCATTTAAAATACTGAAAAGGTCGTGTTCACTAGCGTTGTAATTAAGATCAGAACAGTGATAAAAATGGGCTATGACAAAAAGTGTACTCAAAAATGTATTGAAATATAATATCTTAGATTAACGAAAATTGATTACTGAAGAGGAATTATGCAGGAACAATTTAATATGAAGAACAATATATTAACAACTCTTCGAATTATTACACAATGGTTTATTATTTCTAAACACTTATATAGTATATGTGACACTGCTTTGCTTGTCAAATAAAAGAAAATAAATAAAAATCGATTCCCAATATTGGCCTAAATATTTTTTTTCATCATTAGAACTTTTATAGGAAATATACATCACAATCTCGATTGCTTCAGTTTATGTGAGACTTTCCTAAAATAAAAAACTAAAAAAAAGAGGTTATCTGATTTCTACTTTTTTTTTATTTATTTAGGAAACTTCGTAAACTACAAGTTTATCAGCCGCCACCTTAAAATGAAAGGATGGTTTGTAATACCAAGTTACGAGGATCATCCTCAGGTGCTCCTTGGTATTCATACCAAATCTCAAAACAATCGGTCCCGTAGTCTATGAGAAAAGCCAAGGTCGGATTTTTTGGGGTTGGGGTGGCCAAGCATAGACCGGCAATCGAAGTTTATACAATAAAAATAAGTGTGAGTTAGCTGTGAGTTAACTGGTGCCGGGGGTTACTTATACATTGGCATTAATTCTTTCCCTCAGCCCTAGCCCGGGAAAATCCTTGTATAACTTAAAAGGCGAGGATAAACAAAAAAAAATAAAAGACGGACGGATTTCTTTTTTATTCGATTTTTCGATCAAATTCTACGCATCTTGAAATTTAAAACCTCATTTCTTGGTCGATTATTGAAAATAATAAACCAAAATGGTACAGCAGTACGTGAAGTATCAAAAGAAAAACTCGATGTTGACACGGAACGTTAAAGTGTAGTGTAAGTGCAATTGGCTTATCCCTAGTACAATCTATATTCAACTTAATTTAATTGACTATGAAATCCAGCGCACAGCTCTGAACCTCTCTTTTTGAATGCTTGCTGATTTATTGTATTAATGAAGAACAATGTACCACACAATTAAAGGGATTGTGAGTTCGTATATCTTGACTGTCGCAGACTTAAGTCGAAATGATTTATAGAAAATATAATGTTTAGAGACATTACGAATTTCACATATTGTATGCGTATTTAATTTTAATTATTTTTGTTCAACTTTTATTAATTCTAACCCAGAAAGGACACATACTAACACCCATCTACGAGATTAAATTTAAAAACCTCTATCAAATGATTTTTTTCATCTTAGAAATAAAAAATATTTTAAACATGAATGCCTATAGAATTGACCAGGACGATCATATAAACATGAGATATTAGGGATGTTGGAAATGTCTACCGAAGACAAAACCAACAGTTTAGGTTAGATAAATAAAAAATAAAATTTGCAGTTGATGAGATTACAGTTGATCACAATGCACTTTCAGAGAGGTTGGACAACTGCATACATTATATATAATTATTATGATTCCCGAGATCTTCCACTATTGTTATCAGCTTAGACCAACTGGGCATAGGGGCGATGAACCCCACGGTTTGATCCGTGGAAGCTCTATTTCAGTATAAGGCCCACAATCCATAAATTTAGACGGATTTGTCGCATATATATAATATATTAATTAATATCCATAGCACTTTATACCCTGTAGATCTTTGTCCGCACAATACAGTCTACTAACAAACAGGTGCTGCTGGGTACTATTCCACCTAACATGCGATTTTATAAATTATAACAGCTCATTCTACTTAGTATAAAATTAATGACAGCTGCGGAATTAGATTTGAAGAGTAATAAGAACTAATATAAAGACTTTTTAATACAATGACTTGACGTTTTCTTAAGTATATATATTTTTTTCTCTTTAATTATTTATCCGCACCTGTCGTGGTCATCAACATATCATTGGGTATCAACATATTATTGATAAAATATGTTTATGAATTTATATTAAAACAAAATATACAGTCAATATATTTACTTTCACTTACGTGTATATGTAATATATTGTAAGGGTAAGTATTGAGTTCGAGAAAATTTTTGAATCTGAGTTTTCAACGGAAATACGTGTTTTGAGGTACCCTGAGTCGAAATGACCAAGTCCCGAAAAATGGTCTGTGTGTTTGTATGCCTGTGTGGCTGTATGTTAGCAGTATAGCTCAAAAACGAAAAGTCCTACGAAACTGATATTACGCATTTAATATAGGTATATGCCTTGGATGTGACGGCAACGTTTTCTTGAAAATCGGCTAATCGGAAGTGCAACTTTATATCAACGCTGAAACACATTTTCACAATTTTCTCAAAACCGGCTCTAACGATTTTGATTAAACTCGGTGTATCATTGTATAATTAAGTGGCTTTTAATATCAATTAGGTCTTATCCCCATTGATTTCACTTTATAGGGCTTAAATGCTCAATGTTCATATACGTCTTCCTTTTTTCTACAGATATTTAATAAAGTATCTTTCCTAAGAACATCTTTCATAAGAAAAAAGTACCTAAATTTATACCTTTATTCTCAGTTCTATATTTCAGCACTGTAATCACTACCTCCGGAATCAAGTTACTTATTGTCTGCATAGAACTTTTTTAACTAAAAATATCACTAAAATGACATCACTCAAAAATGTTGAAATTGGAGTTAGTCATTCTGTGGTTTATAAAAGCAGATAGAGTGAATAGATTTTTATTGCCTGTCGTCGATATATTATATAGACATTTTGTAATTATAATGGTCTTAATGACTTGTTATCTGTAAGCTTTAATCTTTAATTCAGTTTAAAATGCACTTCAAAAACTTTTATGAGCCCAACATTGTCAGAAAATAATTTCTATTCAAAGTAGATCCAGTAAGTGAAAGTTGATTTTTTGAAAGTAAGGTGATTGGAAACGTCTAAAAATTTATAATTTTTTAAATGTTTAAACTATTTTTTCCTCGAATAAGTATTAAAATCATTCCAGAACTTATTATTAACTGTATTATTAATTTGATACTATAGGCAGTTTAACTAATAAACTACAAAGCAATGCAAGAATTAATTAGAATTGTGGTTACAACAGGTATCCTCACTGCGAAATTAATTAAAGGGGCGACCCCTCCATACGGACAGGTATTACACCAGCTAGGAACACACAACTGACAAACTGCAATCAAACTTCTCTACCCAACTAGTATATACTACATCCGCCATGCTGCGCCCAGTGGGACAAGTCAGGCAAAACTCGGTACAATGACCGAAATTAGAAATTTATATAATGACTTTAAAATGTGTAAAAATATGTTCTTTGGGATTTACAGGGTATGATGGTCTGTTTTCAAGAAATTCCGAAGAGATGGTAACATAGCAATGGTATTAACAGAAAAATTGTAACATTTTAATAAATCCGCTCAATGGGTGGTTGATTCAATTTATGTGACGAAAAATTAGATGTTTACTGATATGGTTAATATGTACATTGTATCTAGAAGGTTTTAAAACAAGAAATACGGATAAGCAGCCTTACTCAGTAATTTATTATCTTAATTAAAACAATTATAAATTTTCTGAAATTCAAAATCACCAAGTTTTATTGATCTTATTGAATAGGAGTTATTAATATTTGAAAATAATTATTAATTATTTAATGTGTTTGAAATAATATAATATTCGTTTTTGCCTCTAGTTGTGTTTTTATTGGGTTGGCAAATAAGTCCTTTCGATTTTCCTGTTTATTGTTGTCACTATGATACACTTATTATCTGATGAATTAATTCCTAAGGTGGATTGTATATCATGTTAGTACTATATCAACAACTATGTTTGTTAACTCTTGTTGAAACTAAAATTATATTAAAATTGTGTTGCTATTGCATTGTGAATATGGACGAAAATATCATTCGTTATCGGTATATCCTGTTGTATTATTTTAAAAAAGATAAGCATGCTGCAGAAGCTCATACAAAAATGTACAGCGTTTATGGGGATGATGCCTTAACTAAATGCACCTGTCGAAATTGGTTTGCCAAATTTCATTCAGGAAATTTTGACATCAATGATGCTCAGCGGTCTGGCTGGTCACATGGAATTGAAACGAGCGATGTTAAGGTCATCGTTGGTCGAAATTCCACCCAATCAGTGCTAGAGGTTGCTATGGCCCTAAATTTATCGCGATCAAGCGCAGAAAACCATTTGCACAAGCTCGGCTATGTTTCCAGGCTTAATGTTTGTACTCTCTCTAAGCGTAGTCAACTTGGCAACACTATTTCTGTTTGTCATTCACTACGGAAACGGCAACAAAACGACCCATTTTTGAAAAAGTTGGTACTAGGAGATAAAAATGGAGATTTTACGATAGTGTAGTCCGTAGAAAATCTTGGGAACCTGGTATTGAGGCTCCTAGAAGAATGTCAAAATCCGGATCGCATCCAAAGAAGATAATGCTTTCCATGCGGTGGGGTTTCAAGGATGTTAGTTTCAGTGAGCTATTGCCGTCAGGACAAACAATTGATTCAACTCTATACTGTTCAAAATTAACAAAATTGAACCAATCAATTAAAAATAAACGTCCAGAACTGGCAACTTGTGTTCCACCAAGACAACGCTAGGCCCCACACTTCATCAGTCACCAGCAATAAATTATTGAGCCTTGGATGGGACCTTTTGCACCACCCTCCCTATTCACCAGAACTAACTCCAAGTGACTACCACTTTCCGGTCTCTGCAGAACTCCATGAATGGAAAGAAATTCCAAAAGGAAGAGGACATTAAAAACCAATTGGATCAGTTTTTTAACAATAAACTCCAGACATTCTATGAACATGGCATTATGCAGTTAGTTGAAAGATAGGGAAAAGTCATATTAAATAATTGTCATTGTATAATGTAGATTGAAATCGAATTTATATCTATAATACATTGAGTTTTATAAAAAAAAATCTGAAAAAAAAACGAAAGGACTTATTTACCAACCCAATATATTGCTTCAGAAAAAGAATTTATTATTATTATTAAAATATTCATGATTAGGAAGAAACTAATAGCATTTTATTTTTACTAAAACGATATATTGTCTTGTAAAAACATTTTTTTCCAAAATAAAAAAATATAAAATAATATATTTTGGACATATTGATAATTATCCTATTATCCAATTATAATTAAATTATATATAATTTAATATAAACACTATTTTTTATAAAACTGGAGAGTCACTTAATTGAAGGAAACAGTTTAACTGGATAAAAGTTGAAAAAATAATTAACTTGAAAAAAATAATAGAGTATGAAAAATAAAATCAAGTAAAATGAAAGTATTGAAGTAGATGAATTTAAAGAAATCGAACTACATTATCAAGATTTTACGAACTATTGATTTGTATGTATTCCTATTTACAGTAGATATTATTTAATATATAGTAGATATGATAGAAATTTACTATATACCTATATAAGGATAAGATAACCTTATATTAAATAGATAAGTAGGTTATTTTTATTAAAATACATTTTTTTTTTCAAAATACTGAATGGAAGTTTCCATTTCGAATTTATCATACTTTTTAGACTTCGTTGATTTAAAACTGATTAAGGTTTGGACAGAAAATATTAAAAATAAATAAAAAAATTATTATACGGGACAATTTGGGTGGAAAACACACTCTAGAGAATCCATCGTTTCGTCCCACCACTGTGTCCAGAAAGGTTGGAAATTGATGGAAATGTTTTGGAAGAAGAAGGACAAACATGGTATTTTATTTCGAAGACCGCAACTAAACCTCCGAGAGAATCTTTATGAGCCCTCAGTTGAAAAGAGCATTGCAAGCAATTAGCGAAGGGGCTAAAAATTATAAGGGGTGACTTCAACCCTCGACTGACTTTATGTGCTTACGTGGCTTTAGGAGCTTAACTGCATCCAAGTTGACCCCAATTAAAAATCCGTTTACAGCCGTTTTATGGGAGCTACAATAGTTTATGTTGTTATCGAAATTTTCTTCCAAAGGAAAACATTTTCACCAGACTAAAATATAAATGAATTTTTTTTAAACTTTCGAATGTTTATAATATAAAATAATAAAGTGTTGTAACCATCTGAAAAAAAATCGCTATGTAAAATGTAGATACTGTAGTAGATACAGATGTGTGTGTAGATACAGATTATCAGTTTTAGAGGGATTTTTTGCTTTCGTTTAAGTGTTGTTATGAACAAAAAATTGTTAGTGTGATATGTTGTCAAAATAAAATATATACATACACCAAATCGTGACTAGAAATTCTTAAAAAGTAATAATCTCATAATTTCTCACTAAGCTATTAGTAACTGGATCATTATAAATTTGACGAAGCTAATAATGGTTTTTTTTTTTACTATAAATTTATATTTGAAAGAAACTTGAGAGAGACCCTCATAGTACTCGTGAAACCTTTTTTTATTGTTTAGGAAAAATGAAAAAAAAACAATTTAAAATTTTAAAGCTTTTACTCGAATTTTCGCATCCCATACAATATCACAGATTCGGATTATATTATACTCCGTTGAGCTTGGTTAATTTACTTAAATTTATTTTATACCTTATTTAAAAAAAAAAATGTAAATAAAATTATTTATATTAGTGACCTTCTTGACGCCATTCAACACTCCTGTTACCACCTATATGTTGATTATTTCGAAACATCTACCAATCATTCCAACCTTCTGAGATGCCTGAGGCTGACCGAAAGCTACAAGAGGATATCGACTGCATCAACAGATGGACAGGATATTCTCATCGGGTCCAAACGTCTCATTAGCTCTCTTCTTTACTTTTCTCTATTTCACCTTAATAACCGTCCCACCCATTGTTTGCCTACATTCAAAAATCTAGGAGTAACCTTTGAACAGAACCTCTCCTGGAATAACTACATCTCCCAGATTACCCGAAAATCCATAACTGTCCTCAAACAACTGATAAGATTCCGTGGTTGTTTTCCTCTAAAATCCAGACGGCTCCTTGTAACCTCCCTCATATTCCTCCATATCAACTACGGCTGTTTGGTGTATGGAGGGCTATCTACCAGGCTAGAAATCAGACTGAAGAGACTCATGAACTGTTTCATAAGATACATCTTCAGGATCTCCAGCCATTCACGTTTCATTCTGGTACACTAAGTTGAAGTGGCTTTATCCTACTTTCAGATGACAATTCCTCCTTGGTGTTTTCCTTTTCCAAGTCTTCAGAACCACAAACCATCCCCACAACCTGGAACGCTTTACTCTACGCTCCTCTATCCACTCTCTTAATACACTATGTCTCAACCTATAGATTTATATATTCGTCCATTCTTCATTTGGAACTCTCTTCCTACCTCCATACATCAATCCTCGTCCACGAATTCCTTAAACAACTCCTGTTCCACTACATTCAAATATCCGCTAACATATAAAATTACTTGTATCTTCATACTGTTTAATTTCAATCTAGTGCACAATTTCAATTACAATAAACAGTGAATTGGTTTGTATTTTTTTATTATTTTAAGCCAGGCTAGTGCCCATACATTGTAACTCTGTTTTTATTCTTAAGGGACTGTAGTCTCAGAATAAAATTATTTTTTCATTTATTCATAAAATGTCATTTCGAAAAAAAATCTAGTTTTAATTTAAAAATTCCAATAAAATGTTTACTTATTAATGATAGGGTTACTGCTCACTATCATAACGGATGAAATACCTTCATTCCTTAAATAAAAGACGAAATAATATCCATCTTTTTATCATGCGATTTTCTAATTGACTATTTTTCATATTTTTATTTGAATTTGTCCACAGCTTCAAAAAACTAAATAAAGCTATCAACAAAGACTGACATAAGTAATAAAGTCAATAAAATAAATAACTTACCATCCTCATTGAGGACAGGTGTGGCCTGGAGATAGGTGATGACCTTCGGTGACTTGGGGAAGGGACAATGGACCTGCTTCCAGGTGATGAACTCGGTCACCTGCTTCGCAAGCTGCCAGAACTTTTCGAAGTTTATGTGACCGTTTGGCAATCTGTAAAAAAAATGAAAAAAATAATTAACATATTTTTCTGTTTATTAACAAACTGATTTGGTATATGGTACATGTATACTCAAAATCAAGACCGATTTTAGGAACTAGACGAGACAGATTTAAAGCATGTGATATCCGAAACAGTGTAAACCATTATCTTTAGTGAATTGGAATCTCCAAACAAAACGTTTTGCTCACGGAGGAACTTGCACTCGAAGCAAGATAGTTAACGAAGCCCTAGGCAGTGAAGAATTTAGAAGTATCTCTTTTATTTGTTATTTCTGTTATATATGGCATCTTTTTATTTTGAATTAAGGTATATTATAACTATGGGTTGACTACAAGAGTTCACACCAGGTATCCTACAAGAATATGACAACGAGATCATTGATCTAGGTCTCCTGGCAAGTGTGTCACTTCAAGAATGTTTTGTCCAGAGGATCATGGGGGCAAATATACCCAGGAAGGGGGGAGGAATGAGGGAAGTCGGATGAGGGTTTTAAAGGAATTTATCAATAATTGATATTCTTAATATGTCGTCTGTGAGAAAGGGGCCTTTGGAAAAATTATTAATTATTATTATTAATTTTATCTTAATTATTCAAGTCTTGATAAGAAATCTTGTTGCGTGATAGCTGTAGTTTTAGATAACTATTTCTAATCTATCATAGATAGCCTTGTCAAAGAACTCAAGAGGAATAGGAATGGTCAATATGTCGGACTCGAATTGGCTCAGAAAAAGACAAAATGTGACACTTGAAACAAGTTATGAGTAATATTTGTATTATTTAAGAATAGTTATTTTTTTCAGGATTAAATAAATAATTTTCTGAAAAGAATATGCTTAATTAGAATGTTATTTATTTTAAAAAAATAATACCTGGTCATTAAAATATTTCTGTAACAGACAACCAAAAATTAATGTTCCATTTTTAAGTAAAAATGAACTAGTATTCTTTGACTTATCCTTTTTATCTATCGATACAAATAAAACTAAAGAACGTAACATCTTATTGTGAGAAAAATCGCCCTCTGATGTCCACTCATATTGCATAAGAATTTTGGTTCGAGCAAGGTTATTATTAAGTAGTTTATGTAATAATGCGTATATTTACGCTATGCTGAATATTTTGGATAAAGAGTTTTACTTAAATGGAAAAGGCGCATAGGCTATATTATATGGATAGTTGTGTATGCCAAACTATCCATCACTCAATTTATATATGTTATGTTATATGTTATCATATATGTTATATAGAAAAAAACTATATCTTACATAGTAAGGCACTCTTGGCAGAGGGTGTGGAGATCGGAGGCGAGGAGTGAGAACAAAGGTACGACTATGCAGTGCTCCGGATCACCCTTGTTGAACTTGGAAGCTGCTCCTCGGAGGGCGGTCCGGTAGCTGCAGTAGTCGTCGTAGAAGGAAACCTCCCTTTCCAGCCTACTCAGCTCCGCCCTGTCCACCAGCGACCACTAAAACCAGAATATTAGAACAATATTAAATTAATATATAAATAACTTTATTTTCTCTAAAAAAAAATTATAATGTATTCGCATTATTGTTTATAATAAATGTATTATAAAAATTTTACACCACAATGAGAATTCCTTAATACGTTATTTATAAGCGACATCAGTGGAACATGTTTTTTTTTTATTTGTTCATATTAATTATTTCACCCTTACCAGCTAAAAGTACAGACCATATTCTTGACTGAAAAGTGTGTAATTTTCGTATGTGGATCATTTTGGCTATTCCGTATTTCTGTGAAGCTTAGGTCCATATGGGTTTAACTAGATAGATGTAAGTTTCGGTTTTAGGTTTCAGTTAAGCGTCTTGAAAGATGCGAGTTGTTGTTGTCTGAGGTTTAACGTTTTCTTGAACCCATGTCATTTTCCTATCAAATGCCTGTCCAATGTAGATAGAAGAACAAGTCCGATGTCGAAGAGTGAAAGTAATCTGTTGGGATTCGTCTTGATTCATTCGAATTTTCCAAAGTTTGCACCAATCATTTAGTTTTTCATTACATAATGTAAAGTCTGTGAGGCACAGGCATGTGTAAGATATTTATGTCTTGTTAGAATTGTTGTATGGTATAAGACGATAAAATTACGGTATTCTTAGGAATTGTATGTGTATATATGATGTGTAAAAGCGGAGCGAGTACTTACCCCAGAGGAACCTGCTAATACTGGGCTTATTGAAGAGAGTTCTGATCTGTTAATAAGATCATAAATATCTGTTATCACTGAGAGAATAGACGCAATACCTGGATATTATTTTTTATTTATAAGAAATATAAAAAAAAGTATTTTCAATAGCTTTTTAGTTCATCGAAGACTATCATAAATAGGAATGTTTGAATTTTCAAAATCTAAATTTTTGATAAGTATTACATGGCAAGCACAGGAAACTAAAAACATTTGGACAATAATTACGGTTTAGCTCAAAAATGATACATTTTAGGGTTTATTTTTTAATTTTTAATACAAAATTTACCTTGTCTCGATACTACAAAATGTGAAACCATTTGAGTTTTAGAAACTTTCACTGTTTTCAGAGACTTTTAATTTTGTAGAAATTTAAGAACCTAAATTGGAATATGACAATTCTACGTGAAATTCCCTTTCGTTTCATACCTTACTCAATAAATTTCATCATAGTGGTTAAATAGTTGACTGTCATGAATAATGAGAAGAAGAATAGTTGGGGTTATCAGTCAAATAAGAAGGTTAGTTCCCTGATGATGGCCTGAACTTCAGGTCGAAACGTCGGCAAATGACAAAATAAATATTATCATTTATTTTTGCCTTCTTATTTGACTGATCACCCCAACTATTCTTCTTCTCAATAAATTTCATCCTTCTTGAGTGCCGAAAAAGGGATTTACTACCATTTATATATATATATATTTTAGAAATATAATAATTAATAAAAACCTGTATCACTACAACCCATGAGGAGTCTTAGTTTCAGTACTTTGTATGGAAGTAATTTTTTTTATGCATGTAGCGTAAGAAGGTGATTTGTCTAAGATCACGCTTGGCTGCCAGTTTTTTTTCTCTCATTAATTATGAGAAACCACTATATAAAGACTGGGTATGCACTATGAGGATTCATGTACATAACCTAGTCACACATTCGAGCATTATCAACAAAAGGAAATGATATTAATAAAGTAAACAAACTCGTTACATTGTAACGATTCATGTAATTCATATGAATAATATACCACTTTAACAGCATATTTATTATATTTTTACTATCTGGAGTTTATAGAAATAACGAAGGCAAATTAATCAAACACTGTTGATTGTACTTAAAACATTGTTTTAGTTTTTGCAACGGCATACGTTTAATGAGAATGCAAAACAGAATAAACATTGGAATGGGAGCAGGAAAAAATAAACGTTAATCCATGAATAATGGATTGCAGATAAGTGGAATAAATTACATTTCAACAATCCAATGTTTATTTAATTCGAACATGATAACGTAATGGGGTTTCAGCAGGAATTGGAAACTTCATTTTTAAATTTTATCTCTTCCGTACTGGATATTTTATCTCTCTAAGAATTATCACGGTAAATGAAAAAAAAAAATCTGATCATTTTTCAGTTTATTATTTTGCCCAAAATATATAATCTTTCAATTAAAATTAATAAATATGCGGCTCTGTGGAGGAGATGGGGTCTTGGGGAGGGGTTGGACGGGTGGTTGGGGTGGTGGGATGTTTGGTTTGAGGGGGTGGGGGGTAGTGGGGAGGTAGAGGGGGGGGGGGGATATTGAGGGATTTTTGTGTATTTGGTGTTAAGTGGGAATGATGTTGTGGAAGGAAAGGGGGTTGAGGCTTGTTAGGGTGGGTATGGTTGAGGGGGGGTGTTTGTATGTAGTTATTGAATGGGTAAGGGTGTTTATGGTGGTTATTGGGGGGTATGTTTGTGATGTGAAATATGGTGTATGGTGTTGAAAGATATTATTTTGATTGGTTTGAAAATGATTTTATGTTGTAGGAAATTTGTTTGAGTGATGTTTGGTAATTGGTTGGGTATAAGTTGGTTATAATGTAATGGTTGTATAGATGTGGTGTTGTAAATTTTGGGTTATTGTGGATGTAATGGATGGTTAGAGGGGTTGTGGGGTGAGAATAGAGGGTGTGAGTTTTGTTTTGTATGTCAATAGTGGATGTGAAAGTTAAGAGGGAGAGAGATAAGAGATGAAATGGGGTGAAAGGTAAAGGGTTAAGTTGAATGTATGTTAGGATTGGTAAATGAAATGATTGATAAATGGGGAAGGGGTTTGGGGGGATAGGTAGTTAGGTGAATGGAGGATGAAAGTGGTGGATGATTTTGTGTAAAGTTTAGGAGGGGTTTGGTGGTAGGTTTTTGTGATTATTTTTTTTGGGGGGTATATATAGGGTTTAGTTGGGGGAGTAGGTGTATAAGGTTAGGGTATTAGTGGGGGTGGGTGTGTTTTGTGGGTGGGTGTTTGGGGGGGAGTGTGGTGGAGAGTGAGTTGAAGGTGTGGTTGGTGATGTATTGTTATTTGAGTAAGTGGTGAAGAAGTTGAGTATTTAGAGTAAAGGAGGTGGTAATTAGGGTGGTGTTTAAAGTGGATAGTGTTTGATTTGTTAGGTGGTGATGGAGTTGGAGTTGATTAATTTGGGATGGTGTATGGTATATGGTGTGGGTGGGGGTGGTGATATTGTAGGGTGTTAAGTAGTATATTTTTAAATATAGGTATATTTCGGGATAGTGATGAAATAGTTTTGTTGTGGTATTAAGCGGCTGGGGAACAACATTTATTTTAGTTCTATTGATATGAGGTTTCATAATTTACATTCAATCATTCCCCTACAATAAGTATATTTTTGAATATATAATATATTTGAGCCTCCATTCAGAGCTATACTTACATCACTCGGCTACACATCCTTCCGTCTTCCATCAAGCTACTATTTAACTATTCATTGCAGTTTGTCCTTTGAAGCTTTCTGTTTGTCTTGTGAATCAATTATCAAATCATGATTATTAACGTTAGTAACAATGACACTGTTGGTGCGATGCTAATTACGCAATCTTGTTTTGTCCCTCGTCAAATCCCATTAATATTGCTGATAGTTATGTTCATTGTATGCAAGTTACAAAGGAGCATATTAATTAGGCAATTAATAAGCTAAAACTTCATCACAATAAAGAGGGGTCATGGAATCAAGTTTGCTTTGAAACACCATCCGATATCACTTATGCAATGACCCCAATACCATAACTTTTTTCATTAAAATTAAACAACGCGAATCCATACTATTGTATAATATAATTTTATATTTTTGATAAAATATGTTTCTGCAAAGATAGTGTTTTAATATTTTTTAACGCTACTTACAACCGTATTAAAGAAATATATTTAGTAAATTTGAACATATGGATATAATGACGTGAAAACACTTGTTGAGAGTAGGTACCCAATGGTAGCACTCTAATAATATGTCTAGATTAGGAGATCGCGGGGCTATCTTCTTTTCAGACGCCTCGGAGGTTTATCAGGAATTGAAGAGGAGGAAAGGTTAGAAACGAGAGGGTTGGGATGATTCTGAAGTTCATTATGGAAGGATAGGTATCTGGATTGGGCAAGATCTGAAACATAAGTAAGTAATTTTTAAACAAAGTAAGGAGCATTGAGGATTTTACGAAGGATTTTGGATTGTAACTATTGTATACGAGAGGAATCCGATGGTTTAGTGGAGCACTATAGCTCAACAACGTAAGTCCGAATAGGCCTTATTATTGTAATGTATATGAGTATTTTGTAATTAATTTGAAGTTTAGAGTCTTTGCCTAGTAAGTGCTGAAGTAATCGGAAACGTCAAAAGGTTTCTTTTCGTTTCAGTCTGTTATGTTTTAATAATTTAAAGAGAAATTTTTATGTGTTTTGATCCATGCTGAGTCCAAAAACCACATTTTAATGGTCTGTCTGTGTTTTTTAAAGGTAATGACAAAACTATATAAAAATCGTTCATTTGGACAACTATTGACGAAATTACTGCTATTAAATTTCTAATGTATGATTACGGAATAAGAGAAAAAAGACAATTTAGCGAAAAGACGAAAATCTGTTGCCTGCATCTCACAAGCTTCAGTATTACCTCTACGTTTAACAGAAATTATTGTTTGAAAAAACTAGGCTAGAGCAAAAAGTTTTTTATCAGCAATATTAGAGTGTATTGAAATTTGTACACTGATCTACCATAAGCCGGTTCACAAAGCTTTAGTTTATCAAATAAATCGTACTCAAATCTTTTCTTTGTTCAATTTGCAGAAAAATAAATCTAATTCAATTTGTTTTGTTTCTGGATGAACATATGTAAAGATATGAAAACTTTTTTGAAAAATCGTGTGAGTGGATACACCAGATTTTTATTAATGACTTTTTGAATAACATTTTCCAAATAGGGCTATTAGAAAAAGGAGTGCAGTAATTCCAGACGTTTGACTTTCTTTTACATTTCGTCGTTTGTGATAATTGAAAATATATCAATTATCACAAACGACGAAATGTAAAAGAAAGTCAAACGTCTGGAATTACTGCACTCCTTTTTCTAAATAATTTTTTTTTTCTGTTGGAATTACAGATCTTGTAGATCTTTTAACGTGCCCACTCCATCTTTGCCTATCTTAGGCTATTTCTTTCCAGTTGCCTGTATACAGCTATATTGCATCTTTGTGATTCAATCAATGCATCTACTTTTCGGCCTTCGGCGTGGTCTTAATCCAACTATTATGGCATTCATTGTTTTGTAGTGGTTTCTAGATGGATTCCAGATACAAGCTTCATGTCCTGCCTATCATAACCTCCGTGATTTTATATCATGAGATATTGATTGACCAATTTCTGTAAGCTGTTCTATTTTGGCCTTTCTTCTCCATGTGTTAGTACTCTGATCCCAGATCGCTTCGGTTATCGGGTTTTTTTCTCTCAAATATTTTAATACGTTTTTTTCTAGGACGCTGGTTAGTGTCCAGGCCTCATCCGTATATTAAAACTGCCTTTATCATAGCGTTGTACAACATTAGTTTCTTAATTTTACGGGATTTTAATATCTTTGAAAGAGAGGTATAGTTTCGTTTTCTGTTCTTATTATACACTGGGCTATTTCTGACTGTTGGATATTAGAGAAGCTTTGACTTAAATTGATTCAACGGAGAGTAACAAATGGGTCGTGGTAACGGACTCGAAGAGCGCAATTCTGACCATTGAAAAGAGAACACCGACAACTATACTGGCGAGATCTATTAAAAATATCTGGTGGAAACTAACTGAAAAGGGAAAGGAAATAATATTCATGTGGGTCAGTTCACAATGCGGAATTTTCGGAAATGAACAGGCAGACAAAGCAGCAAATATGGCGAGAAGGCTAGATAGAAATCCTATAGCTATAATTAACGAAATCCCGATAGAAGATTTTATACATCATATAAAAAAAAATGCGGGTAATGTGGCAGAACGCATGGCAACAAAAAGAAACCAAATTAAGAGGGGGAAAAAGCCACCGTACTAGCAACCGACTCTCCAGAAAAGAAGAGACAGTCCTCTGCCGCTTACGAATTGGGCATTGTGAATTTTCACATGCCTACTTACTAAGAGGACTAGACCCACCGACCTGCGAGAGCTGTAAGGTGCAAAGAACTGTCCAACTCATCATCCAAGACTGCCCAGTATTTAAGAATGTTAGGAAAAATTTCGATATGGCTCAGAGCCTAAAACAAAACCTCAGTGATAACGATAACGCCGTGGAAAAAACCTTACAATTTTTAAAAATAATAAAGTTCTACAATAGGATATAAATAGGAAGTGTTGCCAATGACCCTGCAGGTTAGAGGCAACAATAAAAACAAACAAATAAATAAATAAATAATTATTATTAAATAATGTTTACATAATATTTAATAATAGTATTAAAAATAAGAAAAATATATTTAGAGGAAAATTGAAGAGGAAATAAATAAAATAATAAGATGAGCTGGTTAGCCTCAGTGATCCCGCAAAATAACAATTACTTTCATGACATAAAGATGAAATTTCAAAATTTAATCTTCCAGACGATTATAATGACATTTTAAACAACAGCGCTAGGGTTGGTAAGTTATGAAATTATATCATCCTTTGAGGGCCCTTAATGCCGTTCCCTTCTCGAAGGCAGCAACTTCTCCAATTTAGAAATAAATAATTTAACAACATGGAGTGTATTAGTGTAAGCGGAGGGTTAGGAATAACATATTAAATTTCTCTTGAAATAATGTAATTGTAATCTCTAGTCATAAATACAGATAAGCTTCTTAGAAGCCGCTGTTTCTAGAGAAATACATGTCCCTAGATATTTTAATTTTGTACTCATATTAAAAAGTTTAAATTCATATAGTCATAAACATTTTTTAGAGGATAGAATGACCTATGAATATCTTTGAAACGTCATTGATGAAAACTACATTTATTTAAACAAATGAAAGATTAAAAAAAAACATCGAATATGTACTACAAAGCATAAAATAATTCAGGTACATTATTTTTTTCAAAGGTATTGAAATATTGAAAAATCTTAAATTAAAGAAGAGCAATATCATGATAAAGCCAGTTCTAATGTATGGACATTGATCAGCTTCCTTGAAAGAAGTATTGGAAGGTTTTATAGAAATATAGAAGATGGAGGAAAAGTACTAATAAAAAACTGCTTGTAGAAACTGGTCGATCAACCCCATGACATGAAGGCAAGGTAGTATCGATGGACTTAACATGTCAAGCAATCAACATGGAATGTTCTAAACAATAATAAATGCCCCAAAAGTTGTCAAGCGACCCAATTAGGTTAATCCCGAGACCCAATAGATTTCAAGTTTATTGGGTTTTACTTGCAGTCTTGGCCAAGGGTATTATTCTGGACTCCCTTGGGTTCATTCATCATCGCATATACCGTAATAAGTGGTTGATTATCGTTATTTATTTATTTATTTATTAAATTTTAAATTATTTAAGTGACCATATCTTTTTGTATATGCTCATAGGACTATGTTACTTGCTCTGTATGCGTTCTAATCTTCTGGTTTTAAAACTTTGGCATTCGAACACCATATTTTTTCCCCTATAAATTTCAGAAATTGTCTTGTATCGGTTTTACCGAAATATGAATATATTGTATAATTGTAATTTAGTGTATTAGTGTAGTATAGTATTGATATTGTTTATGCTGTGCAATATGAAAAAAAATTTGTATATATACAAACATATGATTAAGTATAATTAAGTGCTATGTCTAAAAAAAAATAAAAAGGATTGATGAGTATTCTGTGTATCGAGCAACCCTATATAGTAGGGTTTTAAATAAAGTATTTATCTCACTAGACAAGCTCGATTTCGAATTGGCATAGGTTAGAATATGAACTGAAAAAAATAAACTTTCATAATACTCCTACCACCGAATGAATGCATTTTACCATTCGATTCAGTAAGACAAATTCATAGAATACAAGTCTGATTAAATTTATTATTACAGAATATCTGAATATAAATGCCCCATATTGGCTCCACAGTACGGTATCTGTAGGCAAATTAATAAAATAAATATAAATGAGGGATCTCCTTCCATAGACAACCTAAGTAATTGTAATATGTTAGGGAGGAGGTACTGCTGAGTACTTTCCTTTCCCATCCCGTCATGTCATTATATCATTTATCGCCATAACATTTTGTGATTGTCAACAATAATTTGACAGGCACAAATATATTTTTGATGGACAAAAAAAAAAAAAAAGAGCAACAACAATTATTATTATACTGTTGTTATTTAAACAAAATGTAGCAATAAAGCAGAAAATAATTGAATCAAGTCAATTCGGTCCAAGATGAAGATCAATTAAAAGTAATTGACCAGGAGGGGCAGCACATCTAATTGGGTTCTGGGGTCAGCCTCTGTTTGAATATGGAATTATATTGGATTGAATCAATAAATTACAATAAATCTGAAAATGTTTAACAAAGTTAAACTTTAATAAATTAAATTATGATTACCTTATATGTTGTTCATTTATGTCTAATCAATAAATTAAGGATTAAACTGTCCACTGCACCTTGTGATTACACTACAGCTTAATTTATGTATTTACAAAAAACTATGTCTTTAATGAATATAAGAATGTATTAAAGTCATGTAAATAATTTCCGAAATGGCGGTAGCTTAAACTGAAACAAAAAATCAGATGGAATATATCTATAAAGATAATGTTA